TAAGCTCCGGTTGCCCAGCCGAGTCGGAAGTGGGAGCCCTCAGCCAGTGAGACTCGTGTGTCGTCGCCGCTGGCCCTTCAGGCTCTGGTAAGAGAGGAAATCGCTGGAGGGCGGGGGTCGTCGACTCTGCAGGGGGGTTTTTCTCCTCGTGCAGCGCCCGCGCAGGCGTCTGCATTCCTCCCTCTTCCCCGCCCCNCCCCGCCCCGAGCTTTCCCGACCGCCCGCCTCTGGGTGCACTCGGACCCTGCCTGGCTAGGGAGCCCCGTACGTGCTCCAGCTTCTGGCCTGGCTCCCGCCCTTTGCCCTTCCTCTCCTGGAAAAGGCCGGAATACTGGCCTTGCGTTATCCTTGGCTTCCTTTCTCCAGAACGTGCACCGAGTGGGTGGGTCTCCCTCTTGCCGCCAAGCCCTTATGGAACCTGGAGGGATAAAAATATAGAGTGGACAGCAGATAGCGAGACGGCAGAGAAGATAACGCTAAGCGGGAGTCTGCTGCCCAGACCAGTTGAAAGCATATGGCAAGGTGTTGACATTTTATACGCAGTGGTCGGCTCGCCGCTCAGAGCTCTCCTGGCTTTCTGCTTGTGCTCCTCAGCGCGTAAGTTTAGAAGACGCTTCTAAAATTGAGCAACCACAACTCAGGAGCTTGTGTTTGATGGGTCTTCCCTTGGGGATCAGTGTCCACTCGCAGAGCAAGGGTGTGCTTAGGCTGGCTGCCATGACAGTTCGGTCTCACAGGGGAGCCCGGCAGAGAGAAAATGGGAGGGACCCAGGTAGGAATGCTGTCCGCGTTCTGACAATGTCCTAGCTTGCTGATGTGTTGGAAGGCTCTGTTGCTGCCTTAGAGGGGCCCGAAAGGATTGTTGGGTGGAACACACAACAATGTAAACGTTTTTTAATTCCTTTTTGTTTGATGTATGTATCACTCATCAGAACAGAGACCTACAGATTATAATTTAATAGAGCCTGATTTTGACAACCCTAGTTTCACAAAGTACTCCAAATATGTATTTTTTAAAGCAATACCATGTCTGATGTTAAAATATTGTGTGCTCTCTTTAAAAGCTGATAATGCCCCCTAAGAGATTAGCAGTACTGGCTTTTTTCTTTCTTACTTGTTTTTTAATTTATTGGGGGTGACATTGGTTAATAGGATCATATGGGTTTCAGGTGTGGGTTTCTGTTATAAGATCTGTATATTGCACTGTGTGCCCAGCCCCCAAAGTCAAATCACCTTCCCTTCACGCCCCACCCCCTACCCTCTGGCAACCACCACACTGCTGTTTGTGGCCACGAGTTTCAGTTTTATATCCCACATATGAGTGAGGTCATATGGTTCTTAGCTTTTTCAGACTGACTTATTTCACTTAGCATAATATTCTCAAGGTCCATCCATGTTGTCACAAATGGCAATATTTCATCTTTTCTTAGGATGAGTAGTATTCCACTGTGTCCATGTCCCACATCTTCTTTGTCCAGTCTTCAACCGCAGAACACTTTGGTTGTCTCCATGTCTTAGCCACCATGAATAACTGAACAATGAACATGTCTTTGTGAATACATGTTTTCAAGTTTTTCAGGTATATATCCAGGAGAGGGATTGCTGGGTCATATGGTAGCTCTATTCTTAATTTTTTGAGGAATCACCAGTCTGCTCTCCATAGTGGCCGTACCAGTCTACATTCCCACCAGCAGTGAGTGAGGGTTCTCTTTTCTCCACAGCCTCTCCAACACTTGTTATTACCTGTCTTGTTGATACCAGCCACTCTTAACAGGTGTGAGGTAATATCTTACTGTAGTTTTGCTTTGCATTTCCCTAATTGCTAGTGAGGTTGAACATCTTTTCATATATGTGTTGGCTGTTTGTATGTCTTCTTGGGACAGGTGTCTTTTCTGGTCCTCTGCCCACTTTTTGACTGAGTTGTTTGTTTGATGTTGAGTTTTGTGAGTTCTTTATATATTTTGGATATTAAACCTTTGTCGGAGCTATTGTTTGCAAATATCGTCTCCCATTTGGTCCACTGACTCTTTTTGGGGGGTGCGGGGTTTGTTTTGGTTTTTGGTTTTTTGCTGTGCAGAAGCTTTTTAGTTTGATACAGTCCCACTCATTTATTTTTGCCTTTACTTCCCTTGCCTTTGGAGTCAAGTTCATAAAATGTTCTCTACGACCAAGGTCCATAAGTTTGGTACCTATGTTTTCTTCTATGTAATTTGTTGTTTCAGATCTTATATTTAGGTCTTTGACCCATTTTGAGTTAATTTTTGTACATGGGGACAGACTGTAATCCAGTTTCATTCTTTTGCATGTGGCTTTCCAGTTTTCCCAGCACCATTTATTGAAGAGACTATTTTTACTCCATTGTGTGTTTCTGGCTCCTTTGTTGAAAGTTATCTGCCCATATACATGTGGTTTTATATCTGGGCTTTCATAATTGATCGGTGTGTCTGTCTCTGTGCCAATACCATGCTGTTTTGATTACTGTAGCTCTGTAGTATCATTTGAAGTCAGGTAGTGTGATACCTCCAGCTTCGTTCTTTTTTCTCAGGATTACTTTGGCTATTTGGGGTCTTTTGTGGTTCCACACAAATCTGATGACTTCTCATTCTATTTCTTTAAAAAATGGCATTGGTATTTTGATGGGGATGCAGTCAGTCTGTATAGTGCTTTGGGTAGTATGGCCATTTTAACTATGTTCATTCTTCCAATCCATGAACATGAGATATTTTTCCATTTTGTTGTGTCTTTTTCTATCTCTTTTAATAATGCTTTGTAGTTTTCAATATATGGGTCTTTCATGTTCTTTGTTCAGTTTATTCCTAGGTATTTTATTCTTTTGGTTACAATTGCAAAAGGAATTGCTTTTTTCATTTCTTTTTCTTAAGTTTCGTTGTTAGTGTACAGGAAGGCTAGCAGTACTGTTTTTAAACAAAAGATTGAAGCAGGGGACTAGGAGAGGATTTTGTAAGATGGAGGTAGACAGCTATTACAGATGTAGACCCTTGTAGTGAGTATATCAGAGTGAAACATATTTTTAAGGAAGACAAAAAATAATCAAGTCCAGCCCGGCATGGCTCAGCAGTTGAGCGGTGACCTAGGATCCAGGCGATCAGGGTTCGATTCCTGGTCAAGGCACATGCCGGGTGGCGGGCTCTATCAATGACTCTCTCATCATTGATGTTTCTATCTCTCTGTCCCTCTCCTTTTCTTTCTCTGAAATCAATAAAGATATATTTTTTAAAAATAATCAAGTCCAGCCTGGCCACCTGGCTCAGTGTTTGAGCCTGGACCTGTGAACCAGGAAGTCAGGGTTCCATCCTGGTCAGGGCACAGGGCTGGGTTGCGCTCGATCCCCAGTAGGGGGCATGCAGGAGGCAGCCAGTCCGTGACTCTCATCATTGATGTTTCTATCTCCCCTTCTCCCTTCCTCTCTCTGAAATCAATAAAAAACATATTTTTAAAAAATAATAATCAAACCCAAAAGCTCTGAAGATTGGTGGTTGTACTATCCCAAAGGCTAACAACAGGATAGTTTGGCAGTTGAAAATAGCAGACTACAAATTACCAGTGACTTTGAATTTAAAAGACAGTATCAAGGTTCCATTTTATCAGACCTTTTATTGGAGTGAGTGATATCTAGGCACTCTTTTTACATTTCTGAGACTATTGAATAAATCTAAACTGACATCTTCACAAAGGTTCTCATCAAGTGGTCAGTCCTCCCTTTTCCAGTAAAACTTGTATAAGTGGTTACATGGTGTAAGCCCTATTTCTATGAAAATAATTTATGCACAGATTTGAAGTACATATGAAAAAGATGAGGTTAGCCCTGGCTGGTGTGACTCAGTGGTCAGAGTGCCAGCCCGCATACCCAAGGGTTTCAAGTTCGATTCCTGGTCATGGGCACATATCTGGGCTGCGGGTTCGCTCCTCACCCCCATTGGGGTGAGTGTGAGAGGCAACCAGTCGATATTTCCCTCTCACATTGATCTCTCTCTCTCTCTCTCCCTCCCTCCCTTCCTTCCACTCTCTCAGAAAAACAGTGGAAAAACTATCCTCTGGTGAAGATTTAAAAAACAAAAAAGATAGGATTAGTGAGATAGGCAAAAACCTCTTTTGTTTTTCAAAAAGACAAACGACAGAGATGACAACAGAGATTTATTTCCACCCTATAGTCTATACATGGCAAGATACCATAGAGCCACGTGTCTGGCTTGACCTTCCACTGAATCCAAGACAAATAGTAAAACCTTTACCTTGAGGTAGGTTCCTTGTGCTGCTATTGATGATGAGGTCAGGAGTGATTACATGTCAGATTGAATCATTCAATAATATTTATTTGGATTTTGTGGTTGTGATATATAATGCCAGACAGAGAAGAAAAAATAATCACATGTGAACCTCTACTCCAGTTGCTTACAGTAGAAGATCTGCATTAGGAATACAGTGTAGAAAATTATGTCCTATTTAAAATATAGGTAAATTGTGCCCTTGCCAGTGTGGCTCAGTTGGTTGGGTGTCACCTAGTGAGTGCATCAGGAGGCGGCTAGTTCATCTAGTACACCAGGAGGCGGCCGGTTCAATTCCTGGTCAGGGCACATGCGGCTCGATCCCCAGTAGGGGGCCTGCAGGAGGCAGCCAGTCTGTGTGCTCTCACATTGATGTTTCTCTCCCTCTAAAAATAAATAAACTATTCTTTAAAAAATGTATAGATAGGTAGATAAAATGTAATGGGAGGTTAGTTTCTATATAATGTGACAGTATAATATTGAAAAGGTAGGCAGTAATACCATTTATTCTCTTTATCTCTCTTGACAGTCTTAAGATAGACTCTTATCTGTCATATGTTCTGTATTCCTTTCAACTTACTGTTGACTTTTGAACAAAGCAGGTTTGAACTGTGCTGGTCCACTTACATGGGGATTTTTTCCAGTAAATACGTACAGTACTATAAATGTATTTCTCCTTTTATGATTTTCTTAATAACATTTTCTTTTCTCTAGCTTACTTTATTGTAGTAATACAGTATATAATACATATCACATACAAAATATATGTTAGTTGACTGTTATGGGTAAGGTTTCTGGTCAACAGTAGGCTATTAGTTAAGTTTTGGGGGAGGGAACAGTTATAGGTGGATTTTCCACTGTATGGGGGATTGGTGCCCCAATCCCATGTTCTTCAAGGGTCAACTCTATTTCATTCTGCACAGATGCTCCAGGTGATGTATCTTCTTTGTACTTACCTGAACTCTTCAGTTGTGTTTTTAAAAGCCCATTCAAACTTTTTTACACAATATAGGGGAATCTTTTGGCTTTTATAACTGAAAAAACTCTCATCTCTCACTTCTGTTTTCCTGTATGTTGGCTTAGTTTTAGGCTGGGCCGTTTCTAGATGGTGCAAAGATGGCAACTCCATCTTTATATCTTAACTAGCCTAGCAACTTAAGCAGGAAAAAAAGAGTTCCCCTTTTTTAAAAATTTTATTTTTATTGTTGAGAGTACTACAGATGTCTCCCGTCTTCTCCCTTTTCCCCCTCCTTTTCTATAATTCGGCCAGAGGCCTGAAGCTGGTGTTTATTGAATCTGATAGGCCTTGCTAGGGTCTTGTGCCTGCTCCTCAATCAGCCACTTTAGCCAGAGAATGCTGTATCCTTTTGGCCAGGCCAGATTCATGTGCCCATTCCAGAAGCTAGTGGGTGAGGTCCTCCCCTTCTAAATATGTAGACTGGGAATGGGATGGATCCCTTGGGGCATCCATCCCATTTTGGAGACAAAAATAACAAGAGCTCGCTACACTTTTTGTATTCCTCTGGACTTCAGAGTACTTTAGAAGTATAGTGGTAGTGAGGTAACAATGAGACAGATCTTGGTCCTCTACATGAATTAGGGATAATAATTAAGTTTATGCAGTGGTTAAATGGGGAGGAAAGTCCTCTCTAGGATTATTTTCATTTTAATACTAAATATGCTAATTTTTTGCATTATTAAGCTCAACTAAACTATACATAGTAAAAAATAAAATACAGCAACATCTAACAGTTCAATTCCTTGAAGCAGTAAAGCACAGCATCAAGATGGCAGGAGACAAGACTGTCTACCTGAGTCATTACAGCTGATTAGTTATTAGCTCTTATGCAGAAAACACCACAGTGGGACATGAAGCAACTGGTGCAGATAAAGTCAGAATTGTCCAGAGCGTTATAGTCTCTCTTCCTCCAAAAAATAAGGGTAACTTTTCTGATTTGCATCGGCTTTTTAATATGGTTCAATAAGGAGTCTTCAATAAATTAAAGATAGACTAAATGTTCCTTTTTTCACCTTTCCTTACACCTTCCCCTCTCTTCTCCTAAGGCCTCTGTTTTTATAGCAGCTCAACATCCTCGTAAGCAGAATTGTCATACCCTTTATCTCTTCACACGCTTTTCAGGGTTGTGTTTCTGTACTGTGGCCTTAAAATTTCAGAAATGCGAGCAAACCTTTCAGGGAGCTCTGCTCCTCCTGTTGTGCCTCTAAGTGCCCTGGTGCTTGAATGAGGAAATGTTATCAGGAGAGTGCAAGTGCAGGCTCAGTCAGCTCCACTAAGCGCCTTTGAGGTATAGATCTGTTTCGTGTACACATTAGGAATGTGTGTTTCTTCAGTATTGTAAAACGTCAGATAAGCAGTGAAAGGTAAATATAGAATTAATCAGCCCTGGCCGGTGTGGCTCTGTGGTTAGAGCATCAACCTGTGCACTGAAGGGTCCCAGGTTCCATTCCTGGTCAAGGGCATATACCTGAGTTGCAGGCTCAATCCCAAACCCAGTCAGGGCGCATGCAGGAGGCAACCAATCAATGTGTCTCTGTCCCACCAAAGTTTCTCTCTCTCCCTTCCTCCCCTTTCCTCCCTCCCTTCTTCCCTCCCTCCCTCCCACTCTCTCTAAAAATCAATGGAAAAAATATCCTCAGGTGAGGATTAACAATATATATATAATTAATCAAAGATCATTTCGTTTTTAGTGGAGGAAATATCAGTTGTTGTAAGCCTAGGGGTAGAGATAGATTGCTTACTGTGTATATATATTTAAAACCCACAGCATGGTGCTAATTTGGTTTCTTTGCTGATTTGCCATTCCATGTCTGAGATATAGGCTTACATTTTGTTTATATGTAGCTGAGGAATTCCAAACTCCACTAAATAAAGTCATAGAAGCCTGAGCAATTGCCACCTAAGCTCATGGTAAATGAGAACTGGTTGGCCAGCCCAGAGATTTATGGGTGATCTGTAGTTTTTGTGATGGTACTTTGTTTTTTTCTTTTAATCTTCACCCGAGACTATTTTTCCCATTGATTTTTAGAGAGAGTGGGGGATGGGGGGGGGAGAGAGAGAGAGAGAGAGAAACAGTGTGAGAGAGAGAGACATGGATTGGTTGCCTCCCCCATGCACCTGATCATGGTTGGGGATTGAACCTGCAACCCAGGTACATGCCCTTGTCTGGGAATCGAACCTGGGACCCTTTGGTGTGCAGGCTGACACTCCAACCACTGTGCCACATGGACCAGGGCTTTGTGGTATTACTTTAAGTCTCACCTTGTTGTTACAATTAGTAGGTGAGTTCCCTCTTTTCTTTTTACTTAGCCTAGTTTTTAAAGGTATAACTAATAGAAACATGTCATTAGATAAATGCATTCCAGCTGAACATTTTATAAGGTTTTAGTTTTGTTTTAGCAACCCCCAAAACAAGCCAACTTGTCCAGTTGGTAAATGTGTAACCATTTTGCCAAAACATCTTGAACCTTGAAACAGGAATTTTAAAGTGTTACCCAAAACCTTTTAAAATGTATTGTTTTTGAGAAATGGAAAAAGAAACAACTATAGGCATCTTACAACTCTTGTGTTATCTGGTCTTCTGTGTCTAATACCTCTCTTCTCTCTAGCCCTTCCCCCAGGTCTGGATGGAGGACACTTTGAAGTGAAATGACAGACCAGGAGAATAACAACAGCATCTCGAGTAACCCCTTTGCTGCTCTTTTTGGCTCTCTGGCTGATGCCAAGCAGTTTGCAGCGATCCAGAAGGAGCAGCTGAAGCAGCAGTCTGGTGAGTGAAGGAGCCAGTAGCAGCAGGGGGATGACCTAGGTCTTCCCAATTAAGTATTCTTCCGGTCCTTGATTGCCATTGGAATTTAAGTTTGGGGCAGAAGTTGTTTTGTTTGTTTGTTTAGGGCATCAGTTGGGGGCAGGGGAATTGTTCACTTTTGTTGTTTGTTTTGCTTTGTTTTGGGATCCTTTCCTCCCCCTACAGAAAAAGAGACCAGATAACAGGTGGTTTTGTAGTAACGATACCAGTCATGACCTCAGGCTGTCCAGCTGTTTTATTTTTTAAATCACCTAGTGGAAGATATTTAAATAAATCTTCTTAACACTGAAGTTGTCGGAAAAGGTATGGAAAGCCAGTCACATGCAACTATAGAAAGCAGTGTGTAAAAGAAGAATTGTAAATGTGTTTTGGCCTGTAGACAAATAAATTAGATTTTTTTCCCTCAAGCCCAGTACTTCAGAGTTTGTCTCAGGGAAATGCTTTTTCCACTCCATGGAGTGGCCACTGTCATAGCTCGTGCTGTTAGAACAGACTTCTGAGAAGATACGATCCTTAGCCTTAATGTGGGACAGTCAAAATAATATCTCACTGGCCAGAGAAATGCTTTTGCTCATCTGGACCAAAATTAAGATGAAGCCTAGCTCCTGCTTATAAGTAGACACCGATTAGAAGAATCAGGATGGTGTTTCCAAACTTGTTAGTCTTTGGAGGGTATTCACAGTCTTTCAAGCAGAAATTGCTCCCCTTTTATTACCCACAGAAAGAATAATAGTGTTTTTCTTTCTAGGAAAGGAGAAATGTTTGTATTTTCCCTTTATTTTGTTTATTTCAAAAGTGTTCAGCTGTGTAGCTGAGTTGTGGCCTTGCTCTCTGAAAAGGAAGTAAGGGCAAGACAGATGAGTAGTGGGCAGGGTGATGGTTGAAGCAAGGGAAAAATAAATGTAATGCTGACTGACTTTTGTTGTTGTTGTTTTGTATTTATAACACTTGCTTCCAGAGAGACCAAGAGAGAAACAACAGATAGTGTGTCTTAAATGCTGGCTTATTAATGTGCTAGGAAGAGGCAGGCCTGGGTCTCAGCCTCTGAAATCTCCCCCAGATCTCTAGGATATGGGCTCAGAGTGAAAAACCTTGCGTTAGGAGGTCGTAGGTGAGAAAGGGGAGTGAGGATGGGAAAAATAAGGCGGTGAGAAAAGAAAATTTATGAGTATGTAGTTGAGGGAAATTTTGCTAACAAGGTCTTAGCTCCTGTCACTCTTGGCATTCAGAACACTTAACAGTCTGTACGGAGTGACAGGCGCTTGTTCTCTGACTGTGAACGGACATGCCCCATGTATGTACGAAGCAGTGGGACAAATCAGGCGCAGGCCCTCTGCTCCTGTGTTGCCACGTCCTCTCCTAGTTTGTCTGCACAGCGCTGATCCTGACCTGCTTCCCAGCAGTTAGCACTCTGCCCAGACCTTGGTCTCACAGCTGAACGTCGCATGTCCTTTGAGAGTTGTTCTGGACTTTCTAAACCATTTTGTCCGTGACATACAGACTCCTGTGCGGCTCTCAGTGAACAGCACTGTTACACTCACTCACTGCGAGTGCCGTTCTGAGAGGCAGTCTGTTAAGTTGCTTTATAAAAAAGTAAAGGGATTAATCAATAAGAAGAAAGTAACAAATCAGAAAAAGAACAAAAGATATGAGCAAGCAATTTATATATAATAATCAACTGATTTTAAAAATCAGTCTCAGTAATATTTAGATTAAAAACAATTAGATGATTATAGTTTTTTTACCTGTGACATTTGCAAAGATTATACAGGCATTTTCTCATATGTTATTGGTGAGCATGTAAATTAGAGCACTGTTTCTGAGGTAATTTGGTAGTATATGTTAACTTTTATTTATTTATTTATTTTATATCTGTATTGATTTCAGAGAGAGGAAAGGAGAAGGAGAGAGAGAGAGAAACATCAATGATGAGAGAGTCATTGATCGAGCCCGCAACCTGGGCATGTGCCCTGACGGGGAATCGAACCACGATCGCCTGGATCCTAGGTCGATGCTCAACCGCTGAGCCATGCCTGGCCGGGCTGTATATGTTAACTTTTAAATGTTCAAGTTCTTTTGGGTGAGCCGTGGCATTCCGTAGGTCGCTGGTTCAATTCCAGCTCGAAGGACTTCATACAATTAAATGTTCAAGTTCTTTAACCCAGCAACTCTACTTCTATAAATTTAGCCTACAGAAATACTCATGCAGGTGCACAAGGAGAGTACATTATACTTGTGCAGGATTGTTTGAAATCATGAAAAACTGGTAACAGCCCAGTTTTCATCAGTTGAGAAGTAGCTACATAAATCACAGTGTGGACATATAATGCAGCTGTTGAAAAGAACGAGGGAGGCTTATAATAATTTAACAGAGAAAGGTGTTGGTGTTGATTATGTTTAAAAAGCAAGCTGAAAAGCAGTGTATATAGTACGATCCCATTTTTTATAAAAACTAAAAATCATAGTAATAAATGTTAGCACCAGAATAGGAAAAAATATGGAAAACTCTGCTAAGTTAAAGGGTTGTCCATAGGGAACTGGTTCAGAGGAGACTACAGTGGAACCTCGGTTCTCAAACTTAATTTGTTCTGGGTGGCTGTTGGAGAATCGATTTGTTCAAAAACCTAATCATCGTGTCTAATGTACTGTTTAATCTGTAAACAAATACTTCTTAAATTTATCAAACCACCCCCTACTAGCCTTAAACAAATCCTTTTCAGCACTCGTTCCAGGATGTCTCTCAGGAGGTCAGGATGCGGCATCTTCGCTTATTCTCATGTCATTGCCTCTGAAATGCTGTTGTTACCAGCTAACTGCTTTTGTTTATCCAAATCAACAACAGTTTTTCTACCTGTTCAGTTGCCTATGATCATTGTTTCTTTCACGCCCTTAGCAACATCAGGACTCTTGATGGTCTCTTTGTTTTAAAATTGTGCTAATCGTCCATTTCACCAACAACAAAAGCAAAGAAAAAACACAAAAATATTCACAGCACAATTTCCTGAGCTGTTAACTAAGATTTAGTGGTAAACTGACTCTAATTCTCTCCCTCGTTTGTGGTCTGAGAGATGCTTTTTGTCTTGCTGCTGTATCAGCTTGAAAGTGTTGTCATGTCAAGAACCGAAGATTTTTGTTCCACAACCAAGACATTTTTTCCGTGAACAACTTGGTGGAGAACCGAATTGCTTGAGATGGGAGACATCTGAGAACCAAGGTCTGGCTGTATTTATATTATACTTTCCTGTACAATTTGGAATTATTAAGACAAATGTGTTCTGGCTGTTCCACTTCCTCCCCATTTCTCTGGGAACTACGTCTCGCTTCCCCAGTAGCCTGGCTGGGAAAGGCTCTCAGGCATCTGGACCAATCACAAAGGTGTTTTGTGGTCCATGGGAGCAGGTGCTGGTGCCAGGAACATCTCTCGGGACCATGCGGTGGACGATGCCCCCCACAAACCAGCAGATCCAGATGAGAGTGATTACAGCTTGGTGGCCAGCCTCAGCAACACTAGGAATCTCTGCCGTCCTGAAGGCCGAGAACATACCACATGTTTCGCTCCAGAAAATGGAATCAGGGTTACAGTGGAAAATGCAAAGCATGTGCAAGCAGATGCTTTTATTTGGGCTGGAATATTTCAGGAGTTTAAAGTTCAGGAAGAGCCTGTTACTTTTCAAATTAATTTAACTGTCCTCTTAGACTGCTTATCTATTTTTGAATCAAGTCCTGTGCCAGGGAATTTAACTGTACTTCGAATGTGTTACCAAGGTCTGGTTACCCAATGATGCTATTTCTGAAAGGAATGGTGACAGTCTGTAAAAGCAAAACAGGAGCCTGAGGAAACTCTGGATCATGATTTCTGCAGCACCAGTGTTAGTAATAAAATTATTCTGCAGTCGGGCTCCATGAAGCATTTTCTGAAATGGATATGACAAGCGAGGTCCTGCAGATCACCCTTTCTCCTGATGAGATTTATTTCAGATTATCTACTTTTGGGAATGACTGTCCCAACGATTCTGATCTGAAGAAATCATTTCATTATAATCAGAACCAGGTCCACAGATACAGAATTTCTTTTTCTTTTTTTTTAATTTAGATATATATAGATATCTATATCTATATATAGATATAGATATAGATATCTTTATTGATTTCAGAGAGAGGAAAGGAGAGAGAGAGAGAGAGAGAGAGAAACATCAATGATGAGAGAGTCATTGATTGAGCCCACAACCTGGGCATGTGCCCTGACCAGGAATTGAACCCCGATCGCCTGGATCCTAGGTCTATGCTCAACCGCTGAGCCACGCCTGGCCGGGCCAGAATTTCTTTACTGAAACCCTCTGCAAAGGCATTAGTCCTGTCTTCTAAGGTATCTGTTCGGACAGATCACTGAGGAGTCCCCTCATTACAGTCCATGGTTAGAAATGAAGATGGACAGATATGTTTTGTGGAGTATTGGTGCTGCCCTGACGAAGAAGGTCCTGAGTCTGCCTTCAGTGTGACAGTGCGCTGTGCCATTTGTGTCTAGATTCACAATAGATCACGTTCTCTTTCCCATGATTTTGTACTGGATTTCCTAACAGGAAGAGGCAGGGAGGAGATAGGAGCAAGATTCCTGTGCCCTAAAGTCACTGTGTGTTGTGTAAGTAAATGTTTTCATGTAGTCACAGATTATCCATACTGGACTTTCCTGTGGTTCTGTCTTTTGAACTCATCAGAATTATGAGCCAAGATGAACAAGTTGTATATTCTATTCTATTTAAGTAGGACATTTCAGAAGTGTGAAAATTTAAAGTTAGATAGAGCCAAATATAAATGTTCTTTTATTTATTTACTATTAGAAAAAGCAAAGGGATGTGGGCATTGCTTATTAGTTTGAATTCTGGGGAATATATCTTAAAGCAGTGATTCTTAAAGGGTTGTGTCCAGACCAACACCAATGGCATCACCTAGAAACTCGTCAG